TAAAATCACACACGACAGAGTATAATATATGGGGCTCACAAGCGCGGAAGCATTAATTCAAAATATAAGTGGTCCATAACAGCAGTGCATAAGTCAAATGAAATGGCATACATCTTTACATAGCTTTAAAACTCGAATACAAAAGTACATATTACATCTTGACAAAAGGCTTCTCAAGTCGACATAAACATAACACATAAAATACAAATCAGGAATACATGATCTTCAAGGTTGCCGACATCCCCAAAGCCGACATAACATGCATACAAAACAAATATCTCGGCGTAGCCGACTTCTTGCTTGTTACCTACATATATACATAGGGAGGGTGAGCTTGGATACTCAGTGAATGATACAAGTAATAAAGGGGTTACATGAATGATTCCCAAGGTCTTTGTCAAAACAATACATAGTATATCTTTGTCAAAACCATACTTATCATAGCTTGTACAAAACATGAGACAAATCTTGTTCATCAAACTTGGTCTTGCAAAACTTACATACTTAACATACGTCAAAATCTTATAACTTAACTTCGGCATAACCTTGGTCCTTAAAAACTTACTTACTTACAAGATGTGTTACTTAGGCCCGTAGCCCGATTTAACACCATATTCTTGTGTCACTTAGGCCCGTAGCCCGCTTTGACAATATGGAGCTCGTGTTACTTAGGCCCGTAGCCCAATTTAACATTATGGAGCTCATGTTACTTAGGCCCGTAGCCCGCTTTAACACCATGAGACTTGTGTTACTTAGGCCCGTAGCCCGATTTAACAACATGGAGCTCGTGTTACTTAGGCCCGTAGCCCGCTTTAACACCATGCAAAAGATGGACTTAAACTAATATGGACAAGCCTCAGCCATGTCTAAATCAGTGGCCATATGAGATGAGAACAAGGCCCAAGATTCATGCAAACATGCACAATGCAAGGGCTCCAAGCCTAAGGCATAAAATGTAATGCAAGGATGAAACATGGCATACAATGGCATACATTCCAGCTCTGAAATGGCATATTAAATGATTCCAAAATGACTCCGAAGCATGCAAACACTCATGATATGCATGGTAGGGGCCTCAAAACCCAAGACTAGCCTAAGCATTTACACTATAGCTATACAAAGCATGAGTGATATGGCTATGGCATCCCAAAACAGTCCTAGGACAGCTTAAAATAAGCATAAAATCATGTTAGAGTAAAGCCAAAATATGCTAGGATGATGAGTCAAAACATCATGCACAAGAGGCTAGTAAACAAGATTTGTTCTACACCTATATGGAGCATGCAAAGGATGACCAAACCAACTATGGATAGGGTCATGATATGGAAAAACATTACCAAAAACATGCTGAAATGTAAACCAAACAAGCTAACAAGACATGACAAAGCATGAAGCATGTGAAGCTAGTTTAGGGGATTTACACTACAAGTGTATCATGCAAGCATGAAGTGACAAAACCAACCTAAAACAGATTCATGACATGCCAAAATATGACCAAATACCCACTGAAATGTATCCAATACATGCAAGAATGAAGTGCTACTTTGGAAGGCCATGCAAGGGGTTGCTCTACACATGCAAGAGGCAAGGCTTAAATGACAAAAAAAGCTCTGAAAAGGTTCAAGCAGGCCCTAAAACTCACTGAAAAATGCCTGAACCGAGCTCAAGAAGTGTGCAAATAAGGGCTCCTTTGAAGGGCCAAAAATGCTAGTAAACAAGACAACAAAGGAGAGGATCACCCCTCTCCTTCTTAGGACCTCAAAACACCATCCCCACCACTGAAATCCCTCTAGATTTCAGTGGTGGGAAGGCCAATACAAGGTGGTCCCGAAGCTCACAAAAAAGGCACAAAAATGAGGCCAAATAAAGCCTAAGAGGGGGTAAACAACCCCAAACACAAAAGTGTTCTTAAACAAACTTCAAAAGGAACTCAAAATAAGACTTTTTTCAGTTTATGACAAAGCTCGAAAATGTTTGCAAGTGTGGATAAAAGATGAAGCAAGATAAAGACCAAAAGAGGGTAAAGTGTGTTACCCTTGTAGCTTCAACAAGACCAGCAGCTTTGAGACCCAAAAACCAGACCTTCAATCTCTGAAAATGGCCTCCAAGGTCCTTAAGTTGATGATGGAGGTGTTAGGCTAAGAGTTGGTGTGCAAAGGGGCCAAGAACCAAGCAATTTGGAGCTCAAAGTAGAGAGATATAGGAAGATATGTATGTCTCTTGCCTTAGCAATTTTCTTTAACCCTTGCTAATGAGGGAGAGGCTCTCTCTTATAGAGGAACAAAGGGGGTTCAAGCTTCTTGGAGAAGCTAGAGCAAAAAGTGCAAGCTTCTCTTGGAAGCTTAGAAGGGTTCAAGCTTCTTGAGGAAGCTAGAGCAAAGGGGTCAAGCTTCCTCAAGAAGCTAAGAAAGGTTCAAGCTTCTCTTAGAAGCTTGGAGCAAAAGGGTCAAGCTTCTTGCAGAAGTTAGACAAGGGTTCAAGCTTCTTGGAGAAGCTAGAGCAAGGGTTCAAAAGGTTCAAGCTTCCTCAAGAAGCTAAAATGAGGGGTTCAAAAGGTTCAAACCTCCTCAAGAAAAGGGCTCGGCTAGAAAAAGTGGCCGATTGATCAAAACAATGGCCGGCCGACCAAAAACATTGCCAACCGGCCAACACCTTTGGCCAATAGCAAGAAAACAGGGCTGGTGGGGTGTGGGGATGGCCAACAAGCCATTTCCTACCCTCAGAGGCAAAAACCCAAGTGCCTGGTCCACAACCAAGCACAAAATAGACAAGTCGAGAGGTCTTGAGGCAAGGTGTGCGGCCGAAACCTCCGAGAACTCAAGACGAACACGAACATGGATAATCATCCAGTGTTCAAACGATGACGTCCAAGTCTTGAGGGTGGTCAAAAATGGGGTGTCTACACAAGGATGGCCAAACGAGGTACAAACAAAGGCTTAAATGAGGAATAAACTCACCCTTGAAGATCAACTTCAAAACCAGCAAGCTCTAAGGCTAAAAACCAACTTTCAGAGCTCAAGTAACCCTCTCAAGAACCTCAACCCAAAGATGGTGGTGTATCTCTATGTGTTGTAGTGCAAAAGTACAAGAAAAATGGACTTTAGAGCATAAACAAGCACAATATATATATATATATAGAGAGAGAGAGAGAGAGAATGAGAAATATAGAAAGAGAGAGATACAACTCCTCCAAAATTTCCTTCAACCTCTGATATAGAGGAAGGCCCCCTCCTTATATAGAAGAATGCAAGAAGAAGCTTGTTAAACAAGCTTGGCAAGAGCTTCATCCCTCCATACACATGTATGGAGGGGAAATGACTGAAAACCAGCTGGCTCAAAAGATCTGGCGTGAAACCTGCTGAGACAAGGGGTCTGCCGGCCATCAGTGGTGGCCAGCAGTGGCTCATTGATGGCCGGCAGGCACAAAGTCATGGCCGGCAGGGCCAAAAGGTGGTCGGCAGTGCCTTCCAAAAAGCATGCAGAAAAGACCAATACAAGGTCCAAAAATGGGGCAGGAAGGATACATGGTTTGGAAAGCTCAAACCTGTGACATTTCGTCGCGACAGTCGAGTACTCGGCGAGCAATCGAACTAGTTATTGGGTATACCTACAAGCACAACCAAGTCTTGAGGGCGGTCAAAAATGGAGTGTCTACAACACCTCTAATTAGAGGTCCCAAGCATTTTTGATTTCTAAAAAGAAAAATGAGTGAGAGCACTAATTAGTGCTATCACTAATGATGTGACAGTGGACCACAGTGATGTTGTGGCTTCTTTTTCTTTTTTTTTTAATGAATGCCAACTCATTAGTGCTAATTTAGAGCACTACTTTTAGTGGTCTCTATCATTGTTGTTCTGAAAAATATTTTGCTGGGTCTTTCTCCTTCAAAAAAGGACAATCAAAGTCTTGGAATGTACATTTGTTTACTATACAAGATTGGTATATATTCCACAAAAATGTGCATGTTAATGTGCTTCCCATCTTAACAGTACAATAATCCATGAATAAAATTTGTATCAACTCAAGTTGAGAAGTAACACATATATGTTAAATAGGGGTGTTCACAGTTCAGTTGCGGTCGAGAAACTTTCAATTTGTCATCTGTTTGTCGAATTGGTAAATTGAAAAAAAAAATCAATCTGCATCCGTCTGCTAGATTGGCGGAAGCAGATTGAGTGGATTGGCGGATGGATACGAATCGGTTTGGCGGTTTAAACTTTTACAAATTTTGAATATAATAAAACTTATCAACAATTTTTTTTTTTTTTTTTGGATAACAATCTAACTCAACATAACTAAAAGATTATCAAGTAATTGTCAAATACCAATAATAAATACATATAAAAAAATCATGTATTATCAAAACTATTTCATTACTTTTGTTTTTTTATTCAAGAACTATTTAATTTGATTTTTTTTTTTAAAATGACAAAATTAAGTCTTATGTTTTCTACACAAAAAATACCAAATTGAAAACAAATTAAAAATACAACAGAATATCTAAAATCTTTTTCAATTGAAAACACAAACAGAATATCTAAATAAATTGAAAATACAAAGTCTTACAAATTACTGGGAGTACTTATTGTTTTGGCAGTTCGGTTATGGCCAAAGAAACTTCAAATCCGCCATTCGTCTAAAACTAAACAGATTGAAAAAAATTAATCCGTAACCGTTCACTTGTCATCATGCATCTGTTTAAAATACGACGAATTAATTCGATTCAATCAGTTTGGACAGATCGAAATACCAACTGCCCACCTCTAATGTTAAGATAGGAATGCCAAACAGCCGTTGGGTCCCTCATTTTTAGATTTAAGGAGAACCCCAAAAACAATTTCTTGAAAGCAACTATGGAAAAAGCCAAAACATGTACAACATCATGTCATCTTCCAAAAAAACATGAACAACTGGCAAAATGCTATAGGGGTTTTGGCTGAACCGTTCAAAACACATGTGAAAAAAAAAATAGAAATACAAATGAAAAGAGGAAAGGAATAGAATCAAGAACGCAAAACACATGCCGTCCTTCAATTAACACACATACATAATTAAATCAACAACAACAACAGAAAGCAAAGCAGTTCTTAGTTCTTCTCAAACCCCACCCACACACCACCATCCTCACCCTGCAAGGACTCTTTTCACCTTAATTTAGTTCAGAAACCCACTATTTGAAAACTCATTTGTCAGCAAACAAAAAGTGTTAGCTATGCACCGATCAAAAATTACTTGAGCAGAGTGGAAATTGAAAGCACAAATTTTGGGTTGAGTTAACCATTGTGGGTCAGGAAGAAGTCATGTGAAGTGTTGTTGGGTATGGAAATTGAGAGCTGGGTAGTTGAAGCAGACACATAATTTGAAGATTTATCCTCTGAATCATCATCTTCATCATCATCAAGCCATGAATCTTTGTTTTTCGGCCATTCGTCGAAAAAATGGTGCATTACTTTCTGGGGTTTATCATCAATATCATCATCTCTCTCCAATTTTAGGGGAACTTCACTACCCAGAACATGGAAATGCTGATGCTGATGTTGATCTTGATTTTGTTGTTTTGAGCCATCATCATTATCAGTGAAGAGTCCTCCTTGAAGCTGCAAGAAAGGGTACCCATTTTGTAAAGCAGAGCAAGTCCTCTGTTTCAAATGGGACAGTGAAGAAGAAGAAGAACCCATAGTCGTTGGTGTGACTTGCCAAGGATTATCAATGGTAGAACCAGAATAATTTCTCACAGCCCCACAACTTTCAGAGAAGAAAGCATGCTCATCAACCACCCCCTCTTTCATTCCACATCCATACCTGTTTTTTTTTTTTCCTTCTCATCATCAATAGAATATTCAAAGCAAGGAAAAAATCAAAACCAGTAAACAATTAAAAACAAACCTATAATCTTGAGATGACAAATTAATCCCAGGAAGTCTTGAAGAAGATGAATGACTCGGATAAAGGAAATGGGTATTAGAGGTTGCTGATGAGAGGGAGGAGGAAGAGTAGTAGGGGTTTGGGTTTGGGTTTTTGGTGATTGATGAGATTGGTATTGCTGTAGATGCTGGTGTGGGTGTTTTTAATGGGTTAATTGATGTTGGTGTAACTTCCACAGGCTTTCTTGAACGGTTTCTGCCTCTGTGCATGTGTCTCTCACAATATTTGGAATCTGCGTATGCTTCTTTTGAGCACCTCCATTTCTTTCCATCAGTTCTTCTGCACCTCCCTGGCTCTGGATCAATTTTCCTTCCAAAACCCATCTGAAAACACTCCCACCCAACTCCATCTGCACCCACAAAATCAATTTTGCGTTTTCTTTTTTTCTTACAAATTTTCCAGGAAAACAAACATCAATCTATATATATATACTATTATAAAGGTGGAGAGAAGTAGAAGTGTGATTACTTACTATGATGTTGTTGAGGTTGTTGGTGGTGAAGGATGCTGAGCTTTGAGGAGAGGGAAGAAGAGTGGAAGGTTGTATTGAGGGTGCAGAGGAGATCAGGAGGGATGGGAGTTCCAGAGACCATGTATTTGAAGATAAGCGCCTGGCACTCTAGTTCTTGCCACTGAGTTGCTGTGAAGGGTAATCTATTTCTTCCATTCATCATTGAAGAAAATAGAGAGAAAATGCAGAGAAATGAAACAACACGAACACAGTCTACTTTCAGCCTTCAGAGGAGAGCTCAGTGACTCAGTCTCAAGACAGAGAGAGAAGAACAAGAAGAAGACGAGGTAGGGTTTGTGTAGTTTTTACTTTTAGAGGCCCCCCTTTCGTTGTTAGTAGGTATATTTATTTCAGGGACCATCTGGGTTGCAGAATCTTCTGTACATGGACAAAACTAATGGTTCTGATCTGATCATAGTGCAACTGCTATGCCACCTCCTCTCTCTCTCTCTCTAAAAGCTTTCTCTCTCTCTCTCTTTTCTGACGCACTGTGTACTGTGCAGACTGTGCTCATGTTATTACTGCACCTCTCTGCCACTCTGCAGAAACTGTGGTGCTGTGTTTGTGGCAGCTCTTGTCTCTGCCATTTTATACGGAAACCCATAAAACTTAGGATTAAAGTAAATGTGGAGTTATTATTTTATGCACGACTCTGAAACAAAGAGAGAGAGAGTTGGTAGGCATCTGAAGCCCCTCCTAGTGCCTGGATCATGAGAGAAGATTGTACGGTTTCAGCTTTTACTACTACTGCTGCTATCCTCACTTTTACTTTATTTATTTTTTTAATTTATTAATTTTCTGTTTCTTTACCTCAGAGTCTGCAAGTCTGAGACCCTCCATTTCACTCTACTTTTTGACCTTTTTCTTTTTTCATTTATAGGGTAAATCGAGAAATGAGAGTTCCACGTCAGAAGCTCAGTCCTGTTCCATTCAACTTTGCAGCTCACTGCTGCTTCTGATCAGTATTGGGGTACGGGTGTGTGGGGGTGTATTTCCGGCGATTTAAAGGTAAAATTATAAATTAAGTAGTTGATTGATAAATTGTGATTTAAGTGGTGTTGGATGATTTGATGAATTAAAAAATATTTTAATTAATTATTAAATTTTTACATAATACATAACACAAATTAATTTTACATAATATTTTATATATATATAACTATTAATTTATAATAAATTTCACATTTTAAATCTCCTACTTTGATATTTCATTAGAGGTTAAAAAATATACATGTATTAATTGTAGCAGAACGAAATAATTTGAAAAACGAATTACAAATTTTAAAATTTAATTTACAATTAATATATAGAGCGATACAAATTAATATGAATCGATACAATTTTAATGGATACAATATTATTCACATATAATACAATTGCATGTTATTCAACAGTCTTTTTGCCCCTGCGGTTCATGTGCATTTCACAAGCCCACATATAGTGTGAATAATAATTAGCCAAAGAAAAGAAGAATTAGAGCCACATACAATGGAGACCAACAAAGATAGTAGTGGAAATATACGATACAGTGACGATAGATGGTAGTATTATGAGAAGTGATAGACCTAAATTGACATAGACTAGTATAATAAATAGTGATATAAATCTTCTTAATTTGACTAACGAAATAGGCTTGGATAAAGTTGAGTGGTGAATAAGGATTCATGCAACCGACCCCATTTGATGAGACTTAAGACTTGGTTTGGTTTGGGTTAGAGTTCTACGTCAGAAGCTCAGTCTTGCTCTGATCAACTTTGCAGCTCACTGTTGCTTCTAATCAATATTGGGAGACAGTGGATTGTGGAATTATTTATGAAAGAAAAATATGAAATAAGAGTTCCATGTCACAACAACTGGAAGGATTGGAGCGGATGTATTGTAACGACTTCAAAATCCGTATCCGAAATTACTTTTATGTCATTGTGGGTTAATGCATTTTAATTTAATGATATCTGTTCAAATTGAGGAATTATCTGTTGAGTCACGGCTTTAAAATTGAAATTACCGACCTTTACGGGTTCAGAAATCAAAATTGAGTACTTAGGTATGTTAATGGGAATTTTTAAAATTATTTGAGAAAATTAATTGGAAATCTAATTTGTCTGATTCGTTAATGCACGTTTGGGTGGTTAACGTGGTACTGCAAATTGAAGGTCTTAGAGGCTTCAGAAATCAGAACGGATGACATATTTATGATCAGCACAATTTTTAGAGTCACCTGAGAAGTTTAATTGAAATTTGATTTCGTACGATTCGTAAGGCCGCGTTTAGCTCTCCCTATTGTGTTAAGCCTATGTGTGTGTAGATTTATATATATAGATATGCCTTTGAGTTGTGGAACTCATCTCTTGGAACCTAAAAATATCTAAAGAAGAGAGAGAAGAAACCATGAAAAGGAGAGAGAGAGAAGAGAGACCAAGCTTCTCAACATCCATGGTAGCTTTGAAGATGATTGAAGGGAATTGAAGAAAGAGAAAGAAAGAAAATCACCTATGGAAACTTGGGGGAAATTGAAGAGAGCTAAGAGATAGACAAAGATTGAGCTAGGTATGATAATCTATCTTGAAACCTTGTGTTTAAAGTATCAATTTGGTGAAATCATAAAAATCTTGGAAGATTTAAACCCATTTGGGGTTAAGGTTTTATGTATGTATTTGCTTAAGCTAATTTGAGGAATTAGAGATTGAGTACTATAATTTTGTTTATGAGTGGAGCTCAAGCTCATGGATATCATGAAATGAACTTTAGATTATGCAAGAATCAAGTGAATTTGTGGGGTGTGTTTTAAGAACCTTGAAGATCATGAAAGATTAAGCATTAATCTTGAACTTTGAGGGAAAGATTGATTTGTTTGAGATGAAATTACACTTGGTTGATGTTAGTTTATCATGTTATGGGGCAATTTTACATGTTTTTGAGTGATTTATGTTAGAAACCAAGTTTAAAAATGGAAAGACCAAGTGTTGGAGCAAAAACCATTTTCGAATTGCAAAAATTGCCCAAAGTCGCACATGCGGTGAGTCTTCCCGCACGTGCGGCAGTCCATGCCCAAAACCAAGTTTGATTCCGCTAAAAAGGCACGTAGTCCCGCACGTGCAGGGACAACTCTGTTTAGCCAACTTTGAATAAGCATATCTTTTGCATCCGGACTCCGTTTTGAGTGATTCTTGAGCCTAAAATCAAGCCCCGAAAGTCTAGTTTCCAATGGTAGCAGTCTCACTCCCAAATTCAAAATACAGAATTAGATATGCCCAAATTAGTGAGAGTTGCTCACTTTCTGTCTACCGATTTTGTACCATTTCTTCGTCTGACCCATTTTCCTATCAATTCCTCCTATCTTCTGAGACATGGATTATGACTTATTGAAGACTAATGAGTTTAGAACCGATATGACTAATTGATTAAAGAGTAAAGTAAGGAATCAGGTATATTCTTATAATGCTATGTGCATTGTGTTTGTAGGTCCAAACGAGGACATCATCCCACTGCTGTCAGAAACTTATCATTGTGAGTAATAGTAGTGTAACGATATGTTATACTTACTTCTGGTGCTTATGATTTATATATGGTTGTTGAGAATGACATATACTATTGACATTGTGTTCTGATTGAATTAACGGACATAATTGAACAATGGCACTGTTATGGTCCTAAGGTCGTTCTGCCTCTGTCTCTGTTAATAAAAGTGGGCCCGAGGCTGTTCTGTATTATCTGTGGGCCTAAGGCCATTCTGTATCCTATATGGGCCCGAGGCCGTTCTGTATCACATATGGGCCGGAGGCCGTTTTGAGATATAATTATGAACAAGATCTATGTATGACCTAATGAGCTTATTTACACTCTTTAAGACTATGCTCAATTAATTAACCTCCTTACATTGCTACTATTCACTGAGCCTTACTCACCCCGTTATTATGTATATTTATGTAGGTGGGCCATCGGGGATTGACACTAGAGTTGTACTAAGGTTCGCCTGTCTGCCAAGTCACCTGGGATATGTCTCCGTGTGGAGGCCTTATTTTGTGTTGGGAGTCATATAAATTATTAAGTCATATGTAAGTGTGTGTGAGATCTATATAAATTCTATGATTGTATATGTAACTCTGGGAATGTATTTAAATACTTAAATCTAATTAAGTCATCATGTATGCATAAGCTCAATGGATGTTGTCTTTTATTGGTATTGCTTCCAATTAAGGCCCTGTATGTGGTTAAATGTTATTCTAAAATTCTGTTTTGAAGCCTATATACAGGCCGGTCATGGACCAAACTTTTAGGGGCGGATTTGGGTCGTGACATGTATTCTACAGAATTAAGACAGAGTGGCTTAAATGAAAGAGTGCGTTGGAGTACTGTGTGATAAACAAGTACCCATTAGGCTAGAACAACTATTAGATTAGCGATATTATATGGGACAGAATGTTAGGCAACTAAAAAACAACATGTAGAGAAAATGAGTATTGCTAAGATAAAGATGTTAAGGTGGATGTGTGGCAAGACTAAAAACGACAGAGTTAGGAAATAGTATATTTGAAAATGGGTAAGAATAGTATCAATAGAAGATAAGTTAAGAGAGAATAGATTCAGATGGTTTGGTCATATATAACAGAGACTAACAGAAACAGTAGTAGAGAGATACGATACAGTGACGGCAGATGGTAGTGAATAAACCTAGATTGACATAGACTAGTATTGTAAATAGAGATATGAATTTCTTTAATTTAACTAACGAAATAGGCTTAGATAAAGTTGAGTAGTGAATAAGGATTCGTGCAACCGACCCCATTTGATGAGATTTAAGACTTAGTTTGGTTTGGGTTAGAGTTCCACGTCAGAAGCTCAGTCTTGCTCTGATCAACTTTGCAACTCACTGTTGCTTCTGATCAATATTGGGAGACAGTGGTCCGTGGAGTTCTTTGTGAAAGAAAAATATTTGGGAATTCTAATTGAGTACTCTTAATTTATTCTTAATGATATGAAATAAATTATATGCAAGACTCATACTCCTCTCTCTATTTTTTTTTTTTTGCTCGCCTCCGCTTTATTGATGTTATCCATACAGTTTGATGCTATCAAAAAAGTTTTTTGCTGATCAAAAAAAAAAAAAAAAAAAAAAAGGATTCTAACCGTTAGGTTAGATTGTGATCTCTCTTAATTTTGCTTAGATTTCAACTCTTTGAAGTTTTGTTTTATTTTTATTTTTTTTCACAAAATTTGGGTGCTTCACTTTTCTATGCTTTTGCTGGTTTGAGATTTATCTTTCTTTTGTTGTCAATCTTACTTACATTTTTGGGCTAAGGAATTTATTCTTCCTTCTATTATCTCAATGTATATTTTATATTTTGAGTTAAAAAAAAAAAAAATTGATAACAAAAAATTACTCAAATTTGAATAAAAATTTTATTTGATACGAACCGCTCCAATAGACAAACTCAAATTTATATGAAAATGATAAATTTGTAAGTCATGAAATAATTTTAAAAATTTTGAGTGAGAATTTGAGTCTCCCTTAGTTTGGATAAATATCTGAATAAAATTCAATTTGATATAAGATTAAGGTCAAGGAGTTGATATTTTGAA